CCCAGTTCTACTAAGCTATTGTAGAGAATGACTGGCTTTTAAAGGTCAGTGCCAAGATTGATTATACTCAATCTGACATGACCTTCGTATGGGAAAGCAAGGAGATTGCTGTGCCTGTAGAATTTCGCAAATTACAGCACACACTACTTCAAAAAGAACAGTTTCTCCGAACAACAGAGCCGCAAGAGAATGATGAAGAATCGGAGGCAGAAGATGAAGAGACAGAAAGCAAGTAAGAAGAGGAGGAGTTAGAGGATCAGCTTTAGGTTATAATAAGGAAGATGATGTTTCATTCCCTGTCACCTTGTTGGAGGAAGATTGGTGGGACGTGGATGGTGAAGGATCTGAAAGCAGTGATGTTTGTTTAGAGGATAGGATAAACAAGATTTATAATTTTTATTTCAATAATGTTGAGGAAGTTGTGCCAGAGATTGACATCAGGGAACTTGAAGAGAAAGACTGAGATCAGTTGTATGAGCTGCTCAGTAATAATGATGACCTCTTTGCTTGGATGACTCAGAATCTAGGCCGAACCAGCCTAGTTACTCATAGCGTTCACACTGGTGATTCGGTCCCAATCAAGCAAAGGGCATATTGTATGACCCCCAAGGAGAAAGAATTTCTTGAGGAGGAAATTAATAAAATGCTCGAAGAGAATATCATCCAGCCCTCTGTCAGCCCCTGGGCCTCCCCGATCGTCCTGGTCAAACAGAAGGATAAGACCCGTTTTTGCATTGATTATCGTCACCTCAACTCCGTTACAAAGAAGGATAGCTATCCTTTACCTCACATCGATGAACTCCTTGACACACTCAAATATTCTTCTTGGTACACCTTGTTAGATCTTGTTATTAGTTATTGGCAGATCGAAATAGAGCCGAAGGACAGAGAGAAAACTGCCTTTATTTCCCAATTCAGCACCTTTGAGTTCAATGTTATGCCGTTTGGCCTCATCAATGCTCTGGCCACATTTCAAAGGCTCATGAACGCTATTTTTCAAGGTGTAAATGGTAAATTTGTCATCATATATCTTGAAGACATCAACATTTTCGCCCCGACATTCGATGATCACCTCTGACATTTAAGTGAAGTTTTCGAGCGTCTTAGGAAGGCAGACCTACGACTCAGTCCCTAAAAATATCACTTCACCAAGGAGCTTAAATTTCTTGGCTACGTTATTGGGTCTGAGGGGATTTCTACTAACCCAAAGAAAGTAGAGACTGTCCAGAATTTCCTGGTGCCCAAGACCCTTCGACAGCTACGTAGGTTTCTTGGCCTAGCCTCTTTTTACTGGAGGTTTATCATAAATTTCTCCAAGATAGCGCTCCTTTGAATTTACTCCTGAAGAAGGATTCCAAGTACATATAGACTAACAAGCAGCACGAAGCCTTCAGGGTGTTGAAAGAGAAACTTATCTCCGCTCCTATTCTGGCATACCCCGACTTTGCGAGAGAATTCCTTTTTTTCACCGATGCTTCTGGGATAGCCCTCGGAGCTATACTCTTCCAAAGAGACGATCAAGGAAGGGAGAAGGTCATCTGTTACGCCAGCAGAACTATGACGGCTGCTGAGCAAAACTACTCTGTCACTGAAAGGAGTGTTTGGCTGTCGTTTGGTCTATTTCTTACTTCCGCCAGTACCTCCACGGATCTCACTTTACTTTGATCACCGACCATTTCGCTCTCAAGTCTTGTTAAACCAGGCATATTTCATTTAGTAGATAAAATTC